CGGCTGCGTGTTGCGGGGCCGGTCTTGCGGGGGGCATGGAGGGCGCGGGGAAGCAGTTGGGGTGGCCGTCTGCCGAAACTGGCTCTTTCCGAGCGCTGCGGTGTGTTAGGACCCGAAAGGGGTCTCGGGAGTTGGGTCGGGGCCTTCCCCGGAGTGTCTTTTGCCTCTGGACTTTGTTCCTTCGGCAGAAACGTTCCCCAGCATTTGTAATGGAGATGCGAGCACTCCACGGTTAGATGGTCATAAGATGGACCTCTGCGTATGTGGTGTCATAACTGCGGGTTCTAGAATGCCTGGGACCTAGAGTTCCTGCTAAACAGATGGGCTGTTCCGGAGTTAACTTCGTGTTTTTTTCTAGGATAACGTTTGGGCTTCTAATTTATCTCTCCATGTTGTAAAACCTGGATGCTCTGTTTGGTACCTTTGATGAGGGTAAAGGTGATGGTATCTTATGTTAGCAGGGGAAAAAAGCATGTCTTTTCAGCCGCAGTATGAATATTAATGTAATTCTGAGCTCTCATGCCTTAAAGAAAAAAAGGCTGTATAGACTTTCTTCAGATTTTGAGGCAGTCTACCCCTGACCTAAAAATGTCCTTAAATATTTCTGGGCAATAGGCACCTAGTTAAGAAAACTACAAATTAGTGGAAAAATACTTGATATTGAGGTGTAGCATTTAAAATCTCCACTTGTGTTGTTTATTTCCATAACACAGCAACAGAGCTATTGTTTAAAAAAAAATCATGCGTACATTTCACTTCTGTGCCTGAAATTGGCTTTCACATATTTCTTTTTTTTTTTCCCCTTGTAAAGAGCATGTTGTTGTTTGAAATCAGTTAGTGTTTTATTTTATGGAAGTGGATGGAAGAGGATTTACTAGTTCTGAATTGACCATTGATGCTTTTCCCATAGAATAAAAAATTTTTTCTGGAAGCACAAGCCTTAAAATTGCCAGGAAGAGATCCACAAGCAGTGTGTTAGTAAACCTGTCGGTTAGCAGTGAGGGGAATTAAATGCTTTAAAAATCAGTGCCTTTCCAGCCAAAACACAGGTCTGAGTAGAATGAGCTTTAGCAGCTTGAGCTGTTAGTGCAGGAGGGTTCATTAGACAGAGGCCTGCTCCTGTGAGCTGGGTTACCTTCCAGGGACTTCAGCAGAAACACACTGCGAGGTTTCTGTAGAGGGTGCCCAAAAAAAGGTTATTTTTATGGATTGTGTGTGTGCGCCAATGACTATTCTGACATGTATCTCTATGTGGGTGTCTCTTGCCTAACTCGGCAGCCAATAGGTTTGCCTTTGGGTTTGTGTTTCGATACTATTCTCAGGGTACTACTTCTTCTCTTTTCAGGCATTGATTAGTATTTTAGACGCGTAACCCATTTCTCTGGAGCTGAAGTTTTGCTAACGCTTTCAGCTTGGCTTCAAAAGCAACTTTGCTGGAATGTTTTAAAGGGTTAAAACCCTCTAGGGTTTTAATTTAATTCAAATTAATTGAAGAAAACTCTTCTGGCCTCACTAAAGAAATCACTGGAATCATGGATCAAAACAACAGCTTGCCACCCTATGCTCAAGGCTTAGCCTCCCCACAGGTAAAACCAAATTATTTAACATGTAACTGTGATCTGAATTTGTGAACTGCTTTTCTGTTTGCATGTAACTGCAGGCTTTCTGTTGGCAGATATGAAAAATTCCGCTAGGTGTTGAATAGTGCTAGTATAAAGAAGAACTTAAAACCCATCAACTTGTATGTCAAGAGGTATAAGAAGCATGCAGATATAAAGGATTCCTTTAAGTTGAAACATGACTGACAAGTTAAAAATCTTAATTTGAGAGTTTGCCCTTTAAGATACCCAGCGGACTGTCGCTGTGCTGTGAATGCATTTGGTACAATGGGCACGGTCTCTGTTCAAACAGTTGCAAGTTAAATTGTGGGTCAAGGTTGGGATGTGCTTGCAAGGTACTGTGTGAAGTGTCAGCACCACTGGCTGGAGGTGAGCAATGGTAGAACTGATGGATCCCTGCAGGCAATATTTTCTTGTATAGAAGAACCCCATTTCCAAGGGCTTTCTGGTTTTAGAGAGTTACTTTTATATGACTCAGATTTGACACGATCAACTTACACTGATTTATTCTTAGATGACTCATGAAAATTTTTTCATCTAAGCCCAAAATGGAGTCAACAAGATCTGTGGTTCCTGTTTCATGCTTTCTTCTACAGGGTGCAATGACTCCAGGAATTCCAATTTTTAGCCCGATGATGCCGTACGGCACAGGACTGACCCCGCAGCCTGTCCAGAGCACCAACAGTCTGTCCATTCTCGAGGAGCAGCAGCGGCAGCAGCAGCAGCAAGCAGCAGCGCAGCAGTCCACGTCCCAGCAGGCGACGCAGGGAACATCTGGGCAAACTCCCCAGCTCTTCCACTCACAGACTCTTACCACAGCCCCTTTGCCGGGGACCACCCCTCTGTACCCCTCTCCCATGACGCCGATGACTCCAATAACTCCCGCAACGCCGGCGTCCGAGAGCTCCGGGATAGTGCCGCAGCTGCAGTGAGTGTCCCCCCCGTTAGTGCAGCGTGTCCCTTTGCAGGCAGTCCTTGAAACACTTGGGATCAAAGCCACATCAGGAATGGGGTGCTGCATTTTGGTGGCTATGGAGGTCCCGAGAATTTACGGGTCTCCTCCAGCAATATGAGTAACTTTTGGTTTTATTTTTAACTTAGCTTTGTTACTCAGCCACTTAGTAATATAAACAGTTTCTTAGTGACTTGCCAAGCATACATCTTCTAAGCATACCAATGGAGGCTAGTATATAGGTCTTCCTTTGGCACCGTTATAATTTTTAACTCTGTGTGTGTTAGGAGTCTGTCATGTTTTAGCTATAAAGTATTATGGGCTGATAATCTGGTACTTAGAAATATGTATACCTGAAAACATGTTCTCATTGGTAATTTACTGGATATGTGTGGCATGTTTACAGAGGGGCAAATAGCTCCACTTCACTGTGCACAGAACTTTGTGAGTGGAATTAATTAAAGCAGAATACAGGAACTACCCCACCTGAAAAGGAATTAGAAGGGTAGAGGGGAAGAAAATGGTTGCTAGTATAGGAGCTAGAGCTGAGTTGCACTTAGTACTTTTATGTTCCTTTTTCTAGTTCATGGTTACAGCTGAGTTTGTAATAAGGGGAAAAAAAATAGAACTGGTTCTAGGTTTATGTGTGTAATTATTTTCACTGAACTTTAGTTTTAAAGAGACTTCTACGGCAATTTAGGGAAGGCCCAAAGAGAAGTGGTTGATTATGTGAATTTTGCACTGAAAGAGTACTTCCTCTTAGCTCTACTTTTCCCCCACTGAGGATCTTTAGATTTCAGAGTTTTCCCAGAAAACAAGTTTCCAAGGAAATTTTGCATCTAGGGACTTCTTTTAAACTTTCTAGAGACTTGCTGTCTTACTGCCTGACAATGGGTTTAACTCCCAAGTCATTCTGAGTTATTTCTGCACCACTTCTTCCTCCTCCAAGGGCACACCAAGGAAGATTTCAGGTGGTGCTATTACTACGTCATTTTCTCCTGTTTCCAGCAGCTTCCTCAGTGGTGGTGGGGGCTCTCAGCATCAATAATTTTTCCTGCCAAACTGAAACAGAGGTTTTTCTCATGAGACACTTTTCATAAATACCTAGCAGATCAGGAGGAATTGGCAAGCATGCCTTAGGAGCTACTGCCCTGCAAAAGGAGGTTCCTGAGCCAAAACACTGCTCAGTGCTCCTGAGAGCAGGAAAGATGTCACTCAAACCCACTTGGAGAAACAGATTTTAAAAAATAATTTAAAGTAAAATTACTCAAGCTTGGTTAAAAATGAAGAAGACAGATTAATTTTTTTATTGTCTTTTTCATGTATTTCTCTGAACTGCCTTCAGGAATATTGTGTCTACGGTGAACCTTGGTTGCAAACTTGACCTAAAAACTATTGCGCTTCGTGCCCGAAATGCTGAATATAATCCCAAGGTAAGAGAAATGTATCGGGAATTCATCCTAGTCAACAGGTGTAGCTACTTTAGGCACAGTTTTGTACTGTAGTTAAAAAAGAAATCTTTAATAAACTTAGAACAGTCTGTCAAATCAGTGAAAAGGAGTTTTATACTGATGTGGCTGTATATTTACACCAGGCTGTAATTTGGTAGGTTGAGAAAGGTTTTTCCTAAATATGCTCTAACAACCAACAGTGTAAGTTTTTTTTGTTGTAGAGCTGGCTTCTGCTACTGTTGATATGGGCATGCTTGTTCCTAGTGCTCTGAAAGTTCCTATTTCATATTACTGTGAAATGTCTGATGATTTCTGATGAGGAAAAAGGGAGGAATAATTCAACTGCTGGGCTCCTGCCAGAGCCGTGGTTGTTCTGTATACACTGTGGCTTCCTCCACCTGGCTGCTCCTCTGGAATTCTTGTGGTTGCAGTGCAGTCACTCACTTTTTACAGCCTTGCTTCCCATCTGAGCTCTGTTCCTTCTTGTCCCCCAGTACTCTTGCCATCTCCTTGCTCACAATGGCTGGGTTTGGTGCAACAGCAAAATGAAATTATTTTTTATGTGTCAAGTTCTAAGTTGCCTGCTGTTTCTAAATAGCCGTCTGTTAAACCATGGAATTTTTTTAGCTTGGGAAACTTTGAACAATAGCAGAGGACTTGGAGCGTTGGCTGAAGAAAGTTACGTCGCTTCATTTTTCTTTTGGGTGGCTCCCCTTGGAAAGATCATCTTTTCATCTTTGCAGCCACAGCGGTTGGACACTATTTCTAATGGAAGTTAGATGTTGAATTGACTTGTCTGGGAAAGATTTCAGTTTTCCTATGGGTTTTTTTTGTTTGTTTGTTTGTTTGTTTTTGGTTTTTTGTTGTTGTTGTTGTGTTAGTATTTGGGATTTTGCTACAGCTTACCTGAATGGTGCTGTCAAACGTTAAAGCACACTTGCAGGCATAAGTGATAAATAACTGTTACTTTAAGTTTTTATCAGTGATGCTGTTACATAATTGCATGTGCATGGAGCAAAGAGCTGAGCATGCTATGGGAACTCCTCAGGTAGGGGTAGGTGGCTGTGTAAATCTTGTAGGTTAGAATAATCAATACAAAATGCTGTTTTCCAAAGCAGAGGGAAAGAAGGGTTACATAACACACCTCTGACTTTTAGTCAGTACGTTTATCTATCAAAGAAAGATGTTGCTTGGCTCTATTATTTAAGCTGTATTTTGAGAAATATGCTGTTGGGTAACCCACGCTACCGCCTTGGCTGTGTCAGTAGAACAGTTTATGAGTCTGAGTGGTGAGCTGGTCCAAGTTAAATATAACAGGCAAACAGGGGTTTGTGTGTGTGTGTGTATGCCCACATCAGTTTCCAGTATCTCTTGCTTCAGAGAGTTTAAGAATATTTGTAAATGCAGGCAGAGATGTTGCAGTACTTGGAATAAAAAGTTAGAGCTAACTGGGCTGCTGTGTTCTACTGTGGTGGTTGAGGTGACTTCTGTTTACACAGAACTTTGATCTCCAGCTGTTGTTTGCTGGCATTCCGACACTCTCCAATTTTTTAAGACAGAAACAAAACAGATCATCAAATTTCCATCCTGCTTATTACAGATCAAATTTCAAGGCATGTGGAAGAATTTTAAAAGACGTTTTTAAGATTGTCTCTATTGCTGTGTTGCAAATGTTAGCATAATTTACGTTGCATATACAGTAGTGAGAGATCAGTTTTGTAACATAGGAATCTATTGGTAAATATTCTGTCTGATTCTACCTCTCAGTGTTTGAAACTACTTAAAATTTAAGCATTGAAAGGGCTGATTGAGTGATCCATAAATATGTGGGAACTTCCTATTTCTCTGCAATACAGTGTAGCTTGCTACTTAGATCACGCAGCTTTGGCTTTGAGGTCACGATTTCAGCAATGTGTCACTAATAGTCTCCACGCTCACATTTCAGCGTTTTGCTGCTGTTATTATGAGAATAAGAGAACCACGGACTACTGCACTTATATTCAGCTCTGGAAAGATGGTGTGCACAGGAGCAAAAAGGTACGTTTAGGCATTGCAAGCAAACTAATTCAGGCTTTCTTTTCTCTTGTACCGTGATGCTTTAGAAGTACTATTATTTGTATACAGTACTTTAATATATACAACAAAGTTGTACAGCTACAAATAAGCTTGCTTCACAGTTATTTCAAATAGACTAACATACATTTCTACACAACATGCACTTTCATGATGGAAAGAACTTCCCTACAAAAAGGGAAAGGGTAGTTCTGTTTCTGGAGCTCTTTCATACAGTCTGATAAACTGGTTTTTAGAAGTTTTCACTTTTTTGGCTTTGCAGTTACCTTTTTTTTTTCCTCTAATAATTTGAACATTTCAAAGACTATGCACTGGAACAGCTTGAACTGCAGAGGCAGAATGATTTTGTATTTGAATAGTTTCATTCATCACAGGCTAAGAGCTCCATGTCTCTGGTTCCTGTAGTCTCATTTGTTCTTAACATCATCACTGAAGCATAAGAACTGAAAACTAAACATAAGCCTAACTCCAGTGGGCAGGAGAGAAATTCTGCTGTGAGGAAGTTTGTTAGGAATCCAGAAGGAATAAGGTGATGAGCAGAGATGAATGAATGGAGCTGTACAGGAGATGCCTTTTCTGCCTGGTGACACTGAAAGTTCAGGTCCTACTACAGGTTAAGAGCAACCAGATCCTCAGCTGTTTACAAAACTGAAACAGTTTTGCAACAGTGTGTAAGGCCATGAAGTTGTGTTAAACCCGGGTTTGAATGCCTGGGCTGAATCAAGCAGAGGATTTTGGCAGTTTATCGATTTTTATAGAAATAGTCCTTTTCTAGCAGAAGTAGTTCAAAGCTGTTCTGCACTGAAAACAGTTTTCAAATCCCATTAGAGGGAGTCAGGTCACTCTTTTAAGAGTGTGGAAATGTGGATTTATAATGTACTGTTTTCTGCCTCATGAGCAGTGAGTACAGCATTAATAGTGATCAGGATCCTCGTACTAAAATTAGTATGCAAATCAGTGCTAGTTGTTAATTTTGGATGTAAAAAATTTTGCAGGTGACTTTTCCCCTCTTTCTCAACACAGAACTTTTTTCCCCAGGTCCGTAACTGTGGTTTAATGTTATTTGCTTTGAGTAATATACTTAACTGGGGAACTAATATGGATAACCCTTTTCTCACTTCAGTGAGGAGCAATCCAGACTGGCAGCAAGGAAGTATGCAAGAGTTGTCCAGAAGCTGGGTTTTCCTGCAAAATTTTTGGATTTTAAAATTCAGAACATGGTGGGAAGCTGTGATGTGAAATTTCCCATCAGATTAGAAGGATTGGTACTCACACACCAGCAGTTCAGCAGG